CAAAAGCGAAGGAATCATATATTATCATAATCGAGGGAGAGTGATGATCGATCGACTTGCCAGCTGAAAAGATAGTCAGTCCTTCACTATTTCTTGTAAATTTGTGCCCAATTTAATGAAGAAATTATTTATTAATAATAAAATAAAAAATCATAATAAAAAAATAAAATGTTAAAACCTGTAAATTTAAAAAACAGAAAATTCTCATATATATATATATATAATTTACATCTATTTCTATCTATTTTTTTTTCTCTTATATTCTATGGTAAAATGTTTATTAATGGATTGGCTATTTTTGTAGGAAATATTTTTTTTTTTTTTAGCATCTTGGCCATTAAAAAAGTGAATGATTTTTATGGGTTTAGGCTTATTCTTATGAAAATTCATCGCATCGTTATCCAGGGTATTGATATTTCTGTATTCTCTGCATTGGCTTGTGGACTTGTGGCTACTTTTGTGATTATTTGACACTTTACAAATTTAGATTGCTACCATTCTCTTTAAAGATAATATTTATATAGGCCCATGATTATCTTCTGCATAGTTCACAGATTTTTATATCTTATTATTAATAAATACTTTTCTATTAAAAATATTTTATTTATTATTGATAAACATTTTTTTCCATTAAAAAGATAGATGCACTTGATTTTATCTTAACTAAATTCCTGTAATTTCTTCTTCTTTTAAAACCGTTTTAATCCTATATTATGTCAAACTCATTTTATTTTACACAAAAAAAAAAGAGCATGACTCTTTTTACTTATAGAGTTTATTTTTAAATTCAAAATTTAAAACAGAGAGAGTCACGTATTATATTTGTGAATTGCTAAATTGTTTTTTTTTGTGTTTTTTTTCCTATTATGCTATTTTGGAAAAAAAAACTCTAAATCATGCATGTTAAACATATATTTTAATGCTTAATAATAATTAATATTAACCATATGAACAGTGCTTTATCACGAGTCAAATAATTGTTTTCAATAAAAAAAAATGTAGACTTCTTTAACATATTTTTTAATATAAAAAATTATTATTTATAAATCAAAATATTTAAACACATATCTAATTAAATAAATTAATATTTAATCAAAATATAACTAAGAATAAAGTATTTGATCCCGCAATATGGATTATGCACTCAATTTTGTTTAGTAAATTTGTTTCCTAGGTAAATTTTGTTGTCAAATCAAATGATTATCCATGCAAATAAAAGATAAAAAAAAGTAATTGATAACAATAAAATAAATAAAACTGTGAAACTCAGCTATAAAATAACCTAATATTGAATGAAAAATTTTAAAATAAAATAAAATAAAAAGATATTGGTCAACCTGTTGACCCTACGAACACAAACACATGATTAGTCTAGACCCACAGAAAGAAAAGTAAAAAAAGAAGAAGAAGAAGCATAAAGATCAATTTTTTAAAAAATATATGTCAAGGGATGAAATTAAATTTTTTTAAAATGACAATAAAAAACCAAAATCAACAAGTGTTAACTTTCAAAATGCGTGGTTACAAGGCTGAAACCCACCACATAAAAGGCACATCCAAAAAACAACGAAACAAAATTCTTAATAAAAAATACTTAGTGTTGAAACTAAAGAAAAATTCATTAAAAAAAATTAAATGAAAAAATACAAAAATACCCCTAGAAGTAAAAAAATGGCAAAGACAAACACCATGAAAATAAGCTTAAAGGAATTTTGAATATAAAGGTATAAAGGTAATTTTATTATGCATCATAAAACAAAAAAAAACTTTATTGCCCCCTTTAAATTTTAGAATGACAGATGGATCATTTTGAAATTACTAAGTTTCCTAATAACATCCTTTTTTGGTTTTATTTTCAAGTAAAAAATAGTTTTTTTTACCCTAATGTTTGAATAAATCACTCATTTCATTTGTTTTTTTCACTTTAATCTCTTATTTTTCATTCTCGTCCTTTTCTAACAATGAAATAGTTTATCTATAATATTTTATGAGGAAATCTATAATATATCTTGCATGATAAATTCCTCACATGTTTTAGCTTTATTTATAATAATAATATAACTGATATGTTAAACACGATTTGAATTGAACAATAACTATATTTTTTTATCATCTCTTTTGTTGTTTAAAAAATAAAGGAGAGAAAAAACTTTGGACTCTCCACATTTTGATAACAAAAATAATATATTTTGGCATTAATGAGTTCATCCAGAGAAGAGAAGTTTGATGTATGGGATTTTAACCTTAAACCATGTTAAAAGAAGTAGATCAAAGTTCAATTTCTTCTTTATTGGGTTTGATTTTTTTATTTTTAGATAAATTAAATGGCATTTTGAACTCGGAAATAAGATTGTTAAGATTTTAATGATATTTTTGAAGTGTTTTTAGGCATAAACAAGTTAAAAATTATGTTTTAGGATTCAAAAACTCTCCAACAAAGCAAAGCAGATGATGTATTATTTGTTTAATAACAAAATATTTTAATAAATAATATGATATTTACTCATTTAAAAAAAAATATATGCATGAACTTTTTTGTTGAGACGAAGCCCATTGACCATCATTCCAAGCCTATGCGCTCCTAATTTTTTTTAAGTGGTCCATTAAATTTATTTGTAATAAAAATATTAAAATAATTTTTAAAATTTATTTAATTATGGCATAGTTTTTTTAATAAAATTAGAGCTCTTGATGCTAATATAAACATATATTTTATAAATAATTATATATGAATCTAATATGCAAAATATTTTTTTGTTAAATTGTTTTTGAATATTTGATAGAATAAAAGATTTATTTTTTTATTTTTATTAAATTTTATTTATTTATACATAAATTTGCTTAAAAAATATCAAGCAATGGTTTTTTTGTTTGTTTTTAGAAAAACTTGTTTTTTAAATCATGATATATTTTATTCAAAAAACAATATCTCGGATAAAAAAAATATTTTTTTAAAAAAATTATATAAAAAGGAAGTAGAATCTTGATTAAAAAGATACATTTTTTATCCTTAATTAAAATCAATTAAAGTTTTTATGAATATTTATTTTAATTATCCTTATTTTTTAATTAAAAATCATATTTTGTTATGACAAAATAAAAACGCGAGTAATTAAAGGAAACTTTGATTAAATTTTTTTTTCTCTGCTGTCTATTGTAATTATCATATAATAAAATAAAAATAAATTTTAAAAAAATAATTCACGCGGTCACATCGGCCAGCTAACGCCAAGTGTTAAAGTAATTATGTCCAGTCAATCTAGGAGCTGGTTTTCCTTTTCAGAGAATGTATGATTGTTGCATTCATTCACAAAAATAATTCACGAGGTCCACATTTTTTTTTTTACAGTTGAATAGTGCTAATTTTACATGTTTTTATATAATTCATTTTTAAAAACACGGATATCTCGAACTAGTGCATCTCAACATTAAATTAATAAATTCAATTATCGACATCAATTCAGTAAAAAATGTAAGATTAGCATTAAATCTTGTTTTCACTCCCTTTTTTGTTTTAGGAGCCATATTTTGTGTGTTTTAAAACAAAAATGATATTAAAATGTATTAAATTGATGTTTTTCATTATTTATTTTTAATATTATATTTAAATACAAGTTTAAATAAAAAATACTCTTAAAAATAATTAGATAGCAAAGATAATATCCCTGTAAAGGCATTTATCCACTGCATGCGGAGTTGAACCCGATGTCCATGTAAAGTGTTTGTTTTCTAGTTTTTTGAAGGGGACAGAAGGACGGGGGGTGGTGGAAACTTTTAGATGATGATAAATGACTGAAAAAAAAGCAAGTCTACTACAAGACAATAACTTTCCTTCCACATGAATTATTTACTCATGGTTTTTTTAGTGTTTGAAAATTAACAGTATATTATTGTGTCGGTAATGTGATAGATTGATTGGGTTTTTTTGGTTAGTTGAATAATTTATGTTTTTTTAAGGGTTTTATTTATAATTGTGTTTTAAATTTTAGTTTTATAGAAGTTAAAATAATATTTTTTATTCATAAAGACCTGCTTTTTATTTATTTTTTAAAAACACAAGTAGAAAACGCTAAACACATTCACATCATATGTGTCCATGTTAATATTTTCTAATTTATTAAGATCATGTCTGTCGTGAAAAAAAATAAAGACCAATGTTTTTCATTGTCTAATAATTAACCTAACCGTAACTTTCTTATTTTAATTTCTTCAGTCACCCCCAATGATTGAATTCCCTTTTGAGTAGTATTAGATGGATGAACTAAACGACAAAGTTTATTTAATGGTTGTGGACCCATAAAAATAAGGTGAGTGGTGATTGGAATGGGATGCCAAGTGTCACCTTCGCGAGTTCCAAGTGATGCGAACTCCAATTCACTTTGGGAGAAATCTGATCACATGTTTTCCTTGGGTATGTGTCCTTTTGCAAATCATAAACTAGCAAGTCCTGTACGTGATTGAGCACAGGCTAGCTCTTGGTGAAACTTCTGTCACCATGCTTGATGTTGTTCATAGTGCCTAGCATTTCTTTCTCTTGTGCACGCCTCTCTGGTGTTTCTCTAACCAAATCCGTCTAAATCTAACTAGCTAGTTTAGAAATATCTACTTTTTTAATCCCGAGATTTCATGAATGGAAATGGGATTAGGGCACAGATTACCTCATGTAACTATTATGATTAGAATGGTGGTTTTTTTTATTATTATTATATATTATTTGTTCAGCAGCACGTCCTGTGAATGATGAACTACACGAAGGAGGTCCTGACTCTCTCTCATTCTTTAAATCTATTGGGTTTAAACGCAAGATCTCTTGGCGAAATCTCAAGTCTTAACCATTACGAGGTTCTCTTGAAAACCGCAAGTTCAATTTTGAACTTAAGAGGGGTCAGTCCATCGTAAATATTCCATGTTCAATACTTAAGGAAGTTGCTAAATAATGTCATGCGACTGTTTGGTATCTCGACGTTACCAAACGCAAAAAAACAAAAAAAAAAGACGTGCAGGAGGAGGAGGCATAGGTGTCGTATGCTTGCACTTCCCAGTTCCTGCTTGCGGTTAAATGGGTCCTTTCTACTCTTATTACGAAAGTGGAACTGTGATTAGCTTTGCTTTTTACAGCGTGGCGGCAATGCGAAGGAAAAGCTAAAGTGAAGCAAAATGTACATGGCCCTGGTGTCATTTTGGGATTCTAATGTTAAGTCACAGTGTTTTTGTCTATGCACGAGGGGAGCTTGCTACTTTCTGATAGATAGTGACATCCACACTTGTTAAATCTAATTACTACATAAGCCTTTCTCATTAACAATTATCTGCCACCCAATTATTTTTCAACGAGAGAGAGAGAGAGAGAGATGGAAAGCAAAGGAGCAAAGCCTGAATTCAAGAAAGGTTTGTGGAAACCAGAGGAGGACTTGATCCTGAAAACATATGTAGAGACTCACGGTGAAGGCAACTGGTCAGCTGTGTCTAAGAGATCAGGTGCGTAGCTCTATCTATTGTATATTAAACTCAACTAGATTGTAAAGGTCAAGTTATTTTGATACCGTAGTCTACCTAAAGTCTAGATTGATAAAAAAAAATTTAAATTTAAGTCGCATGCGGTATCGTAATTATTTACTGGCAGGTTTGATGAGATGTGGGAAGAGTTGCAGATTACGATGGAAGAATTATCTAAGACCCAATATTATACGAGGTGGGATGTCCCAAGATGAAGAAGACATGATAATTAGAATGCATAAGCTTCTTGGCAACCGGTCAGTGCTAGCTTCTTGGTGTTATCCTCATTGCAAACCTTCATCAATGCAGATTAGAAGATGTTATCTAAAAATTTATCAATGTTACCTGTAGGTGGACACTTATAGCCGGTCGACTTCCTGGTCGGACGGACAACGATGTGAAAAACTACTGGAATACCCATTTAAACAAGAGATGCCCTATAAGAAAAAGAAAAACCATCGACTCCAAACCTGACCAGAACGACAATAACACCAAGAAGCAGTACAGAAGCAAGAGAATCCGTTCACTAAGCAATTCTCAGCCCACTTGCAACACGAGTCCAATAGGCAGCACTGAAGAATTGGAAGGGAAGAACCAAGAGAAAGAAGAGAGAAGTGCTGTGATCAGTGATGCATGGATACAACAAGATGCGCAGAGCATGAACTCTTGCATAGAATCTCCAATGGTGTTCCACAACAATGCTGCCTTTTTCTTTGAAGATGAGCCTTTCCTAACCTACTGTGATTCCTTTGATATGTTTGAATCATTAGGCTGTGGTAGTGACTACTGGTAAGAAGACATATTTACAGGTAGTCGCGCAATCAATCATGCCACAGTTTATGATATCAGACTCCAAGCATGATGTCCCTGCACTCTGCACCTGAGATGATCGCTTCTAATTAAAAAGTAATAGTTGTGATTTCTCCGTGGGACAGGAAAAGCTGTGCTCTTTCCTGCACTGTTGAGGATTATTCAATGGATTCTAATATATATATATATATATATATAAGCACCTACCTACCTATAATTATGTTTCAAACAGATGTAAGGCAATATGCCGGTGGCTCTTCCTGTGATTTCCGCATGTCGCATAAAAATCTAAAGTCCCATAAAAAAAGAAAAGAAAAATCAAAACCATATTTCACATGAAAAAAAGAAGAAGAAGAAAGAATTCACGAAAGTTAAGACCAAGTCGCATGACACTCAAAATCAGAAATCCATCACCAAACCTCAGAGTTACATGCAAGTCTCACAAAAATGAAGACATCCTCAGAACAGAGCAATGAAGTTGCAGGTTACAAGGTTAGAGTGAGATATAAACTCAAAAAATTTCCAACACCTCAAACATTCGTCTCATCATCTTTTGGGTGTTTTTTTAATATAACACATCCCAATTTTATTTTATTTACTAGCATAAATCACAATCCTTTTTGAAAAAAAATAGCACAACTCCACGGGTTATGCTGATAGGAACAGTGCAACAAAGCAATTGCGTCGTTCCAAACAGGTTCAATCCAAAAAAGTATTTTGCAATCCAATTTTACTTTTTAAATGCATATAAGTTGCAATGCTGGGAATATCGCTGCGCAACCTCAAAAAAGAAAAAAGAAAATTTGTGCAAAAGATTTTTTTGGGAAAGATGCGGGGTGAAAAATAAGTAGCAGAAAATCAGTTTATCAAAATCCTAGCTCCAGTAACATGAAAACAATAAGGAAAACAGATTTTTCTTCTTTTTTTTTAGCACAGTAAAAAAAAATTAGTAACACAGGTGGAGAAAATATTTAGAGATATAATAAAGTTTAACAAATCACAGTTTTGTTTGCAACTCGCGAGTCACAAATAGTATTTGCGCTTTTAGCTCTTATTTGATAATTGACATATATAACACATATTCACAAATATCATTTGCTAATTTATGTGAAATTAAAACCCTAATCCTTTTTCTTCCCCTTATTTCCCCCCCTCTCTCTCCCAGCAATCTAGTGCTCCTTCTCTTTTTTTATCATCAGTGATCTTCCTTTCTTTTCTCAACATGAAACACATCCAAAACATCACAAGATCATCCCCTGTCTCTCTCTAGCACGAGACCGCCACCCCCTCTTCCATCATAGCTCAAGCCATTTCAGGACAAAATCTCACCACCGCCACATTCTACTCTTAGATGTATATTCAACATGTTTTCTCTATTAATTTGATGTAATTTATGTTAATGTGTGTTAGTTTGATTTTTTTAAAAAAATATTAGGATTCAAAATTAGGGATATTTTTATATAAATTTAGGGTTTTCTATAATTAGGTTAATTAGATATAATTTGAATTGATAATTATGTTTTTTTGTAAAATAAACAATGATTTTAGGTTGTTGTTGATTGTGAATTAAGGTTAAAGTTAGGGTTTATCTAGGTTAAATTAAGGATTACACTGAATTAGGTATAAAATAAGATAATCAACTATGAAATACATGAGTTGGTTTGATAATTTTATTATGATAGTGAAGTATGATGAATTTAGGTGTTCATTGATTAATTTAATGAATTTAGGTTTAGCCAATTATGTTATTGTTCTGGTTTTATTGATAAATTATATACATTGATTAACCCAACGATATTAATAAATTGGACTTGTGTTTTATTGTGTTGTTTAATAGAATATCTAGTGATTTTATAATATTATGCTTTTATGGTGGTATCATCGTCAATAATAACAATGATATCACTTATAATGAAGGCTGTCATGAGTTTCTAACTCTTACATTAGATGTCTCTTAAAGAGCTATTTAAAATATTATATGATTGACTTGACTGGAATATGCTTGAAATAGAAAATGAATATAATCTCTTCACTACATCAAATTGACATGGTTGAATATAAATTTCAAGACCTTTCAGCAAATGAGGTCTTATTTTCATAAGAATTACAAGCAATGCAGTTTCATTATTCTTTTTGACATCATTTTAGGACTTATGGGCAATTCCTAACTACAACTTAGAGGGTCATGCTTGCATATATCTACCCGTAACTATGTAAATCATGTCTAAAGAAAAAAGGATAAATTATCGAGTATCTACTATTTCTCCAGTTGTAATTATTTTAAATCCTTTAATTGTTAAAATTAATGGCATTTTAAAAAATAATTTAGAATCATTAATGTTAATTAATATAGTTATGTTCATGAGAGCATATTCATATTAGGATGAGTTGCATACATAACAACCACATCAAGTATGAGTTACAAATTTATTGTATTTTTGGTTATTTGGCCATCATTTTTTTAGTTTCGACTTGTTATCTAATATAAGTCTTTTATATATTATTATGATAGATTATATGGATGCATTATACAGAGGACTTGATATTCTCAATTGTGTCTATATGCTATAAGGGATCTGATCCTCGGTTAGCATAGGTCTTGTTGCACTGCTTCAATATTGTTGAGATGCATTGTTCAAATTGGGTAATGTGATAGTTTGGTTTATCCCAGCATATATCAAATTATATTAATATTGGTTATGAGCTGCATACTATTAATTATCAAGGTAAGGGCATAAAGAATTGTTTTGTAATTTATACATCTTATCTAGATTTTTGAGATACTAAGAGAGGTCGTGTTTTTTTAGAAGCAGTATTCAATTATTGATGTGCATACCTACATGAGATAATGCTTAACCATTAAGTGCCTTTTATTACACCTACCTGATTGGATTTTTTAAGGTGTCCACGCAATTCGAAGCATTACACGTCCTTTTGTCTAAGACAGAATTGATGCAATATTATTTTACATACAACATTTATTAAATATTATTTATGTTATTATATATTATGAATATTAATTACTTGTTAATGCATGTTAGCACGGGAGGCTTGAAAAGAAGTAAAGAGGTTAAAGATGTTAAGTATCTTGAAGCAATATTAGTGAAAAATGAGATTGCTTATCATGAGAATATTAGAAATGTTGGTTCATCCACAAGCATCTCAGACCTGCCTACTAGTTGAGATGATATTGGTGTTGACACATACATAGATTTGTTCTTAAGTTGGACTAGTTAGAGTAGTGATGCAGGTTCTTCCACAAGTGTCCCAAGTCTGTTAATGAGATGGGGTGATGGTGGTCCTCCTTATCCCTAAACAAATGCTATATACTTGTCTTCGAGTTAGATGAGTTGAGATGATGCTATAAACCTATTCATGAGTGTTCTAAGTCCATCCACGAGCGAAGACGATTATTAGATATGGTTACATTATATGTTATAAGAATCATGAATGTAAGTTTAATTTTAATAAAATGTTATATTAATCATATGTATAATTTTGTTAATTAGAATTAAAGATATTATGTGTTGCTTATATAAATTGTATTTTGAGACTTAAATTATATGAATTGTGGTATTGTGGTTTTTTTAAGCAGATAGTTAATTGCTAAAAACCCTGCCTCTGAAAATTTTTCTTCCTCAAGTCACAACATTATTTATGACTTAAATCCCTAAACATTTCTTGGATCGTGCTATTTTACCCAAAAAGTAATTCTTTTACCATGCTACGGTCGGAAAACAACACTTTTTAAACAATCTGTATTTATTTCACATGGAGCCTGGTAGTTGTTATTGAGATTGAAGAGGTTGCAGATTAAATAAGAGTCCAAAATAAAGTGTGATTTTATAATTTTATATATATATATTTAAAAAAAAAGCGCTACCATTTGCTCGAAAAAGAAGAACACCATCACAATCAGCTGATTGGTACGCGGATGTTCACACTTCCCTCCGAAAATGTCTATTTCCACCACAAGAAGCTAGAAACTAGTGAATTTCACAGGGGAGACTGAACAGGAAGATGGAAACCCACAAACATCTCCCTCTCTGAGGGAAATGTGATGATAAATAATAAAGTAGCAAGAGGCGACTGTCAGTCCAGGCTAAGTTATATCCTCTCACGCAACAATACACATGATAATGTCATTTAAAGGAGGACAGCAAATGCAGTTGATTGCTTGATTATTAACATTTTATTTCGAAAAAACAGCAATTATACACAGCTATTTGATGAAGGAAAAAATCTGAAGCCGGTTATATCGTACCAATGAGAAGAACTGTATTACAGTACTTCATCATCTTGAGCATATAATAAAGCATTCTCATTCTCAGTAGGCAATGAAGGTGGAGTTCCTGGTGGGATGCGAGCAGCACCATTCTCACCAGCACATATGCACAGAGCCTCTGCATCTCTAAGAATTGCGTCAAGGTCAATATGGCCACTCAGCTCATTGATAAATTTCAAGAGCGTGTCAAAGTCCATGTGCTCCCCCATTATCTTCTTGCGGTATCGCTTCAAGATTGCAACACATACATACAGGTGCAGATGCTCAGACAAGTAATGGGTCCACAACACCTCCCACAATCGCATTGTTTTCTTGTATTCAAATTCCCTGAAAATTTGGTAAATCATACTGTGAAAAATAAAGCAATAACACCATATTTCCTTTGATTTCTTACAATAAAGGAGCATAGTGATAGCGTGCGGATACTAGGGATTCGAAAACATCACTGAATGTAGTTACTTGCACCATTGTGATTTGTTCTTTTCTTTTTCTTTTTTTTTTTTGGACTTACACCATAGTGATGTTTGAGAATGATTTTCTCCATACATATCTCATCCCAAATCTGGTTTTCTACTAGTCAGAAAAAAAGAATGCATCTGCATGTCTTGTCCAGCATGGTATTCTGTATCAATCTTCTCAATCAAGGAGAGGTCCCAGATGCTGTACTTTATTGTAAATATTCCCTTCTGGAATTTGTTCGAAGCCAATACACTCAAGAAGTATTGCAAACTAGTAAATTATGTACCTTTCATCACTAACCCCAGCAAGCATCCAAGTTTTTTGAGACAACGATTATAGAATGCATGCAAGTATCTTCTTCTTGGTGAAACAACATTAGACCTGCTACTATAATTGTTTTAAATTGAAGCTAAACTGAACTCGCTAAAAATCAACATCAGTGTTGAGCATCTTATATATATTAACTTTTATATGAGAAAAAAAAAAATTATATCCACTATACCATGTTTGTAATTGCAAAGGAAAAAATGGCAGTGAAAGGGTATGCCAGCAGCTTCATTCAAAAGACATCCATCCATGCGAAGAGCAGAAAAAAGAGGAACAAATAATCCACTAATCTGACCTTTTAAATTGTATTAGAACCCAGCGCAAACAAAAGAAGTAATTCAAGCAGTCATTCTGCTTGAAATAGTTATGTAATGGGCAATCAAGCAACTCCACGAGCTGCGATAAGAATAGTAAAAGTTAGTTCAGTTTGTAACTGCAGCTTAACAAAACAATTTACTGAAAACACAGCCAACACCTAACCTTCATCCAAAGCAATAACATCCCA